TTTTTTGTTGCGATTCCAACTAAAACGGTTAGGCATTATGATGACACTCAAAACAAAATATCTCAGTGGTCATAAAAAAAATTAAAGTGTAAATGACTAATAATTGCTAAATATAAATAATAATAAATAACAATCAAGATTGTTTGTAAGCCGTTGGGTAGTTGCTTGGGAAACAATTGTATAGTTTAACAACATCTGGATAATTTTCTGTACAATATTGATTGTTGAATTGATAAAGCCAGCAAAGTAAGGACGGAATGCAGCAAAGTATTATATCTATAGTAATTAAATGTTAATTTTTGTGGCGTTTTCTCGATTTTGTTGGAGATCAGGTAAACATTTTATTTTAATTAAACCGTATCCCGTTGTCATTATTACAAGAGACTTGTCATTCCCTTAGATAGACCCTAGACAGCGTTCTTAAAAATAATTAAACGGATTTTTAAGAGCACACCATTTCAACCGATCTCAAATAAAGAACACTTGCAATTATCGGCAACTTTGTGCTACCAAGTTTATCAGTTAATCTTTAGTAAACTTAAAAATTCAGTACTTTTATACTAGTATCCTCAAACTAGACATCTTTAAAAGTAGCAGTATTTAGTGTTGTACTCGTGTATGAATTTTTAAAACTATTGGATCCGTTCAAAGCCAGACTTTTTCATTCACTTTGACCGTAGTAAATTTATAGGTTGCTATGATTGAATTGAATTAACAGTCAACATTATTGACAATGCTTGTTATCTAAAAATACGCACCGAAGCGTTTATTTAAAAGAAATTTGATCACTTTCAGTTATTATAATTTCCGTAGACCCGTGAGCTACCCTTCCCCAATATGCTCCGTTTCCACTGTCCTGGGTCTGTTATATTTTAAATTTAAATTTTCAACCAACAACCATTATTACAAAAACTTGATATAATAAAATTACTTAAGACAAACTACGATATACATGACCTACGTTTTTAATCTGACCAATTCCTTTTTTTTTTAAGAATTAACTTTAACATGTTTTTTTCATGGGTTACTTGGAAATTTGGTATGACCATATTTTATAGTATCATAGCAATTAAAAGAAGAACATGGTTAAATTGTAGAAGATATAGAAACTTGCAAAAAGAAAAAACAAAAGAATCTGAAGGAGATATTTTACGGTTTTCAAGAGCCCTACAAAAATCAGCAAGTGTCAGAGAAATCTCAGCATCTAATTCTAAATGATTTGTTTTACTTGAAACGTAATAAAATGAAATCATCATACTTTCATTCATAGTGTAACACTTATAAGTTATCACTAATTAGTAATTCCTTATTTATTAAGTCTTATCTCTAATCTCTTATCCCTTATTTACAATCTTAATGAGCGTACACATTTTCTTAACGGTCCGATTATGCGGACTTTTTAATAATTACGAAATTTTTTTAAAAGTTCTAAAACCTTCATCATAATTATCGTCGTCAGAAGAATCGTTGTCATAAAATCCGAATTTGCCATATTCAATTTTCCGTAGTCGTTGTCCGTTATCTCCGTTTCCGTCATCACAAGAATCGTCGTCATGAAATCCAAATTTTCCATTTTCCGTAGTCGTTGTCGCCGTTATCACCGCTTTTCACAATAAATTAGCACAATCGTATACGGTTTGAAGCAGTCAGCACTATATAATAGTTATACGTTATATATATATATATATATATTTATAAAATAATAGTTGCAGCTTGCCGATTACATTTTTTGTTTCTTTTTTTGTATCTATAATTATATATATAATAAATATATAAATGTTTTTGACACACATTCTAGTACCACATAATATTATATGATGTTGCTCGCAATTGTATTTTTATGTATTATTTCTATAATATAATTACCGTCCATTGTTGTGCATTGTGTAGCTTTGACTCTGGTTCTTTATTAAACGAAATATTCTTTTATCTTAATATATTCTCAAATATACAAATATTTGCCATTGATTTATACGTTTCACAATTCGTATGTTTTTTAAACCCCCGTCTGACTAAAAAGACTCAAAAAAAAATATGCAAAAGAATATTATTCCGACATCTACTTATAACAAAATGTATGGAAAGTATAACACAATATATATAATGATATATACATCATATAATCATATATGTGCGATTATTTTTATTTTTCTTATTTTATAAAACAAGCAACTGGCGTTTTTACAGTTTAATCATGATGTTTTACTAGTTATAAATATAATAGTTACCGTAATATTTTTGTTCAGCAACTAGATAACAATAAACAAAATTGTGTGGTAGACATTTCTAATTTTATATATTTTATGATATAGAATATAATCTACAATTTTCAAATAAATTTAATTACCGAGATATTGAAATAGTTAGTTTTTATAATACACTGAAATCTCCTTAATGACTTATGTTGTAGTAGGTTTTTTTTTACAAAATATAACATTGTAGGTATTTATTAAATAGATGGTAGCGTTTTAAAATTAATATCATTGATTATATGTAATATAAAATAATATAGCTTTTATAATCAATGTTAAAGTAATCATAGAATTATTCATATCATTTATTGTTTAAATATTTTTAAATTTAATCTACATAAGGCATTTTTTTGCCATATTATATATAGTATACAATAATCAGTTGCTAGCTAATAACAATAGTCAATACTGTGATTTGATTATGTTTAAGCATATGATAATTTGCAAAGCATAATTTACCTATTAAAATAATGTATTCTATACTCCAACTATTGATAATTATACAAAATAATGGTAACTATATTGAAATAAAATTATGTTCTATACAATATTGATATTAGACAATTATTATTATACATTATAATTATTATCAGACAAAAACTAATGTCTTTTTTTACAATAGATAAAATTGTACGTTTTTAATATCATAATAAAATATATATTAGTAAATTTTTTATCATTATATTTTAATCACAGTGTTTTGAAAAATATATGTATATATTCTCGAGGTACTTCAATTGTTGTAAAATTTTAGTTTGCTTAACTCAAACAAATAAGTGGACTAGTGTATGACAATTTACAGGCAAATTAAGGAAAACAATACATTTTATTAAAAACAAATCAAACAGAGCTTAGTGTTTTTCGACTAATAGTAATACCACACATAAATTAGACACTGCAATTTTAAAGATTAATCAATACTATTACATTTGAATATAGGTCAAAATAATTAATGTGACAGAGAAATAATGAAAAATAAACAATATGGTACATTTTTTATAAAAAAATAAATTCTTGTTCAATAAATAATTACTGTTTTGTTGGACCCAAATTTATTGAAACATTTATTATTTATCAACAATATTTTATGTTATATTAAATTGACGATACAATAAAAACAAATCATGAAAGTTAATTACTAAATACTAAATAGGTACCAACGTCAACATAAATGCAGAATAAATTGTAAAATTGACTTTATGTGTACCAAGTAGTATAATAATTTATATTTTTAAGACAATATTATAACCAATTAAATTTTAAAGCCGCGTGGGAGGCAATTATGTTCAAAATGTAATTTAATATACTTTAAAGAAAAACAATTCAATATGCATAAAGAACTATTAAGGAAATATAATAAATATACTAGATAGTTAAAGTAATAATGAATACTTCAAATATGAGTAGTAGTCACAAGTATGATAGTATAGTAGGATACAAAACATTCTCATATTTTATAAATATATGTATATTGAAATAATATTTATAAGGAAAAATATATTTCTTTAATAATTATATTAAATAAGTTTCTTTAATATAATGGACATCAGTTATAAATCTTACAGATATGTCCTAGTCGTTCCGAAAGTTTTATATTTTTAACATCAGCCTAGTAAAACATGATAACGGGAAATAAATACCTACTAGATACATATTTAGTAGATATGTATGAAATGTGTGAATAACCGATACATTACACTCCATGCTAGTTTTAGTAAGTGTACAAAGTGTAATTTCAAATAAAAATAGTTACATAATTTTGATTATAACCATCAAAATATTTATAGAACACACTTCATATTTCACAGTATGTCATTGAGCTTTAAAAAAATTCATAGATATAGATAATTAATGAGAAAAAATATAAATCTGATAATATAGTTGTATATATATATACAATATACATATGTTATATTAAATTATTAGGAAACTTAAAATGTAATAATACTTGTTTATATTACAACAGTTTATATCAATTTGAATGACTCCATAACAATAAATGAAATATAGAGTCCAACTGGTAAAAATAATATGTATACAACTGATAAGTGGTAACTAACAATAAATGTACCTAAAAGTATCGAAATATATATGTTTGATATAAATTAATATACACATACATATGATATATATATATATATATATATATATATGTGTGTGCAGTTTAAATATAGTGTTAATTAGGAACGCTTTATAACATCTTATGTAATTAGTTTTGGATTTAAGCAAAATTATGACTAGTTGTTTTACATGCTAATTTGATCGTTTTTAATAAATAAAAAAAAAAGATTATTAAAATGGAAACAAATTCTATTAGAATTTTAACGGTTGTTTGTCTTAAAAAAATTGTTTGTTATATTATTTCGATGTATATACACATGTAACTCCCAGTTAGACTCCTAAAAATATTGTAAATTAAGGTAAAACCACGGTTTAAAATATATAGTTTAAAAAGTATATTTTTAACTATGGGTTTAAAACTAATGGGATATATTTATCATTAACTTTTTCTAAATGCTATCATCCATTGAAACATATAACAAAACATTATCTGTACTTAAAAATTATCTCACTCATTTGTTAAAATAGTATAATATATTATTATTATTACGGTTATTTAGACATAATAATAATAGTTATAATAAAGGTACAATAATAAAATATATATATATATAAACTATTCTAAGTGCAATCAAATTTATTCTGAAATGCTAATAATACTTAAAAAGGCGCTAAAACATAAAATGTTATTATTTTTCGAAGATAACATTAAATTTAATTATTTACGGATAAATTGTAAACAATATCAAACATTTTGTTTTAACGAAACACATTTTAAAATTTACAATTATTTCTACAAATGATTTTGGAAAAATGATACATACATGATAATATCTACCTTTTTTTTTTTGGCATCAAGGAATTTAAAAGTATCACTCAAAAGTATCACAGCAATGAAGTCGCATCAAGATAATTGATCATTTAGTTTTGTTTGGAGCTCCGGAAACAATTCTACGGCAATGACATCTAGAAGTCTGTAGAATAACTGCTTATTCATGACGCTACTTTGAATGCATTTGTGTATGCATGTGTACAATGGTAGCAAAAAAGAATTGCTCTTGGACTTCAATATATGGTCAATGGTTATAGTATGACATTCATTATTTTGTAACGCTTCGTCCGCGGGGAATAATGAATCTGAAACAATGAAATGGGTTACTAAAAACATCATAAAACAAACAATGCAAATGTCTTATATACTTTCTAATATTTCAATCAAGTTGGATATTTTCGACGGCGTAATGGAACCAACCAAATAAATAGTTACATGTCGCTGTATAATAGAGTCTATAAGACTTCCACATATTGTTTTTATAGCCAATATCAATTGCACAACAGTATTAGATATGTTGTACACGTGAATTCCCAAAAACATTATACAGCTAATTGGGCCGCATATATGGGGAATTTGATTAGATACATTTTCGGATTCAATTAAGTCGTTACTTTCTATAGGGACATTAAAGTTATTTCCAAACACTGCATTTTCAGCCGTTACTACTTTCCTTGGTGGAATTTCTTCACTGAAGTCTTTCCATTCATACCTAAAACAAATTTAATATTACTAAATGTTCATGAAAAACGCACATGAAGCTTATTTACTTTTGCTTTAACTTGGTTTCTATTGATGCCATGAAAATGGAAATAAATGATTCTAAATTTTGTCCCCGTTCTTTTCGTAAATTAATTGGCATAGATTTTCTTAATAAACGCCCGATGGCAGATTCTGAATCTTCAAAATTTTCTTCTGATGTTAAAAACATGTGCAATAAATCCGAACCCTTGAGCTCTGGTTTTTGTAGAAGTTGATTGAGAAACTGTTTATACGTATCATCACTTTCAGCTCGTTGCAATATAATACGCCTCGAAGGTAATTGAGCATCTAGAAATACTCCATGAAACTCTGTAAGTTTAGTTTTCAATGTGTAAAAGTCAGCAAGTCTTCTTTCCACACACCATTGTTTGACATCATTGTTTTCAGTTGTCTCTAATGATATGATAAACACCACTGATTGACCACCATTAGATCCAGATTCTAATTTAAGAGTCGACGTCACATCTGTTACAATCCAAGAGCTCAAATCACGTTCACTATTGTTAATGATTGAGTTATCAACGGCGAGATCTTCACCATACTCTGGATCACCTTCAGAAGATAAAGAATCCAATTGACCATCATAAATAGTACTTGACTTGAGAGCACCTTTAATTCTGTTTAACTTTCGACTCATTTTGGAAGAGGTATTTTTATTATCATTAGATAATGACTGTTCTTGAGGTGAATTTGAGTCTAATATGTTACGGGATCCACATGTCCATGAAAAATACTCATCCGAGTTGTGAAACTCGGCCCAGTAGTTATTTTCTAAAATTGAATACGTTTGTTCATATGCCTGGGAGAGTGGTTTGGAATTTTGAAGTTTAATAACATCTTTAGATAACACTTTTCGTAGCTGACTTACAAGTTCTGCGTCAAAACATATGCAATCTGGTGAATGTGTACTAAAATACACAGAAAAAATATCCCACGCATCGCGATACAAAACATCAAGTTCGTCCGACGATATTTCAGGTTTTAACATTCGCTTATTAAAACTATCAACATCAACACAAAACTGTAATAAATGCGCTGCTTTTTTATTTTTTAAAAACTTCATGAATGCGGTCAAAATTGTAGAATCTTTATATATGCTACGCATTTCAAGATAAACTGAATCACGTGGTTCTTTGGAAGTAAAGTTTGATAAATATTCTACTCGTTCGTCAGTGAATGTTGTATTGTGACAAGTTGTAGACATTTTAGACAGTTTTGACCATGTAAATATTAGGTTGTTTGGATTGCAAACAACGTCAGATAAGGGTAGTAGGACCCACAGTGAAAGAAGTTCTCTCGATATAATAGAAAATATCCTAAAAAAAAAAAAAAAATATTAAAATAATTTTTATTGATCAATTAAGTACAAATATAACAATATTTTATATGGTTTTAACTAAAGTATTTTTTGTGAAATCCTATTCTTAATATTAACCATAATCTAAATATAATTGCATTTAAATCACAAATTCTTACCTGCACTGAAGATCATTTTGTTGTGTAATATATGGTATTACACTAGATGATAATTTTCTTAAATATTTAATTTCAGCATTGCGATTAAGAACAGCATAATGTCGAACAATTTTTTTACCGCTATCCAACTGCTTACAGTGTTCTATGTGTGATAAAACTACTGGTAAGAGTTTATACAGCACAACGTTTTCACAATCTGCCTGCAAATTATAAATAAATAAATATAAAATAATAGAATAACTAACAAATCAAAACATTTTTATTTTTCAATTATGTAATTTTTATCTACTTAAAATATTTATTAGTAATTAAAAGTTATTTTATTATTTTATGTGTAAAATAAAATGCAAATGCAGAAATATTTTCACTAAAACACTATTACTGAAATTAACTAGTAGTGAATTATTGTCTATAATATATTTTCTCTATTGTGTATTAACCTGTAAAAATCTTCTTAATATGGTACTTGTTGCAAATTTAATAATTTGTTTGATTTCTTTAACAAAGTTTGGATCTTCAGAAATGTTAGCATACCAAGTGGTCACGTACGCTTTAATTATTTTTGAGAACAACTGAAAGTATATACATTTATTTAGTAAATAGATAATATATGTTTAAAAGGTTTAATTCATACTCTATCCAATGCTATATCAATTTGTTCCGATATCATTAATCCATTCCATGGTGAATGTAAATTTTTTAAATGTACAGTACAAGAACTAATATTACATTTCACACATTTATTATTGTATATGGAGTGTGTTTGACTATTAGATTGAAAATAGTCATCTGGAACATGTTTTCTATAATAAAAATAAAAAAATATGTTATTTAATTTATACCTTAAATTTTATTATTTTACACGTAACATTACAGTTTAATAAGATAAAATTGAATTATCTGTATTTTGGAGATCTAGCCTGATTTTAAATAATAACTCATTTATTTACCTGTATACATAATTGAACATGAAATTACCGCCACATAATGAAATAATGACAATGATGAAACTCAAATATCTAGAAAATAAAATTTAAATTATTACTTATAAACAATAGCGTATTTTAAATTCCATATAGTACGTATCAAAAATGTAAGATCAACAAAATGTTTAGTAGTACTTAGTAGAAATATACATCTCTAACTCAATGTCTCTTTTTGGTTATGGAAATTGACAAATGATTTTGATGCGAGGCAATAATTTAACTATTTAAACTATTATTTTCTTTTAGAAGTCTATGTTTTGGTAAATAAAAATGGCTAATAAATTTAAATAACAATTTTACGCAGTGTTATCTACAAATGGGTTTCTTATTTATGAATAAAAAATATTTAAATTGATTTATAGTCAGATAGTGACAATAAATGCCTACACAATCCCTCTCATTTATTGCAGGTAATATATTGTTTTATTTTATAATATGTAATAATTAAATAAAACAAGTAAGAAGGGGTATTGACTGCTGGTAAATCGAGTCTCAGATAAATTTATCAAATTCTATAAAAACACGAAATCCAATTGTTCACATACAATAATAAAGCACTCGAATTTATAATTTGAAAGCCTAAGAATATTATTTAAAATCCTTAACATATGGTAGTCTGGTGTACAATATTTCTTCAAATGAATATTATCAAGAATATCTGTTACCTTCGTAATCAGAATATACAGCTCGAAATTATCATTTTTTTTTTTTTTACTAGTAATTCATCATTAGTACTCACCCCCACACGAACAAATTAAACAGCAGAACACATATGAGGGCTGTTACACCATACAAAATGATCCTGTCATCTGCCAACAGATTGAGAACGTCTTTCATTTTGCTCCATAACAAACACACCCGTGGCCGTTGGTAGATAAATCAAACGCTCGAACCGAACACTCCTCACACAGATCCGTTCATATTAGGTAAGTAGGTACTTGTAATGACTAATAATTAACACAGACACTGTTCATTACATAGGTAGGTATTTATTGTTTTCCTATTTCGATTAACACTGAATTTACACACCATCTTATCTTATCACGTCCAAATCCTGCGATGATCTCGCTTATCAATTATTATCCCACAACATTTTGATAACACCAACATTGTTGATAACGTATGATTTTTTTCAATTTTAATTATTCAATATTCATAAAAAAATGCTATTCGAAAATACTACTAATGTCAAATCAAATCGACCGGCTACGATAATAATAAAACGATATTTTTAATTTTAACAACGTTTTTTTATGGTACAAAGTGTTTTTCGCTATTTACTAGGTTATCAATCCAACACTCGTTTGTAATTCATGTTTTAGGTATGAAAACTTTTAAACTATAATCAAGTAAATCACCACAAAATGTTAATGATTAATATTCTAAGATTTAAAAATATTCTACCTAGGTAGTATGCAAGCTGATAAAACGACCAATCCACGTTAAAAATTCACTTTATTACAATGTAATAAGGTAAAAATTTACTTTAGCGGCCACCCTATTTTTTTTTTTTTTTACAAAAATTAGGGTTTTTTTAACAGTTTTATAAAAAAAATTAATACGACTTTTATTTAAAACATTACTATTACTTTACTTTGGATTTATAATCATCATTGAAAATGCTATGATATTGTTTTAACAAGATTTCTAAAACAAAGTGTGTTCAGTAAAGCAAATTTATTCTGATAATAATTTTAAAACCATTATAAAATAAAAAAAAAAATAAAATACGTAATTCTTTGTTGAAGTAGATTTTATAGAATTTCTTTTGTATTAAGTATAGTTGTTTACAACAATTAGCCACTAGTATAAAAGTTTGTTTTTTATATTAGTATATTTATTATGGTTGTTAAAACTCATAATACAATTAATTAATAATTTTGTTAATGTTTGTCATGTTATTGCATAGAATTATTCTAATCGATGGCATACAAAATAATACTTTTTTAGATCAAGTTTCCAGTATCATTGATTCAATAAAGGTTTACATATTTTTGAATACATTATGGACAAGATATTGTACATAGTCTCGGCAGTTCATTTGACTCTTTGTCCTTTTACTAAAGTTGAAGAGAGCTTTAATATTCAAGCGATACATGACATCTTATACTTGAGAGGAAATCTATCACAAGTATGTTATCTAAATGTAAAAATCTAATTAATAGTAGATAATTATTGTATTTATTTAAGGAATAAGTATATTCTTAGAAAAACTAGTTATAACCATCAACATGTTAGATGCAATGGGGATTGCCTGCAATTCCATAAGTTACGCAATATGAGGACATTTAAATATTAAAATTTGTATCAATTAATCAAATTATAGAATTATTGATTAATTTGAAATATTTTCATTATTTTTATGAAGTAATCCATATGTTATTTTAAGTTTGAGTGAATATAATTAACTTTTTGTTGGTTTTTCTGTTAGTTTTTCATGTTTACCCGTGTCACCTAACGTGTTTTAATATAACTACGACTGTATTTTTGTTAAAACACTTTTTTACCATAAATTCTCTTATATTTTTATTTAATATTATCCATTTTTGCTTTTTGGAAAAAATACAAATTTACCAAACTGTCTATTTTAATAATATTTGATTTTCATAGTAAAAAAAAACGCGTCTAAAAAAATGTAATGAGATAAAAAATATTTTGTTTTAGTATGATCACTTAGAGTTTCCAGGAGTTGTTCCACGAACATTTATAGGTCCTTTAGTAATATCGATGTTATCCTTCCCAATATTCATGATACTGCAATTTTATGCATACAACAAATTTATTAGCCAACTATTAGGTACGTACAAATTTATCTCCATAAATATATTATTATAATGCTCTGAATGATTAAACCTGGTAGTATTTATAAGTTTAATATTTTTACAGTTCGAGCGGTTCTAGGCGTGGTTGTTATTACTAGTATAAGATATTTTCAAAAAAGTATCACGAAGATATTTGGAAAAGGCGTAGCTGACTGGTTCATAGTCGTAACTGCATCTCAGTACCATTTGATGTTCTACTCGAGTCGGCCTCTTCCTAATATCTTTGCATTTCCTCTAGGTCAGTGAATCGTGAACATATTATAATGGGCGGTATAAGTCAATTCTATTTTTTTTCTTCTAAATTATATTAGTGAAAAGAATTTTATTTTATATTGTTTTTTTGTTAGGACTATAGTGATGGTAGCGTTAAGTTCGTGGATCAGAGGAAAACATGTTGCACTTATATGGAGCTCAGCAGCGGCTGTTTTGGTGTTTCGCTCAGAATTAGTCATTTATCTTGGAATTATTATATTAATTGAGCTGTTTTATGGTCGTCTTAAAATACTCAGGTTTCTTAAATAATTAATAAATGTTTATTTTTTGATACTTAATTGTCAGATTGAACAATAATTATAACCTGTCTGTATTTTTGTTAATTTTTCATTTCAGATTGTTGAAAATTGGTTGTTTGTCAGCCCTCGCAGTTTTAATTTTAACTGTTGTTATTGATTCTGTATTTTGGGGTCATTTATTATGGCCTGAAGGTGAAGTGTTGTGGTTCAATGCGATATTAAACAAAAGTAGCCAATGGGGCGTATCCTTTTTGTGTTAAGTTTCTTGTTATTTATTTCATACATTTATTTTTAGTAGGAAAAAAAAGTTACCGTCTACTTAAGCCTAACGGCTAAAATTATAAAACATGAAACATGCTTTAGCCTGCTGGCTCCTGAAGAATAATTATTTCTGATCTATAATCTCCTTGCGATTTATGATGATAGTATAGTCCTAATTATATGTTCTGGCCAAAACGTTTGCATGACTACAATGACTCGTTATTATTTCGATACCATCTTAAATGTTATTAAACGTATAAAGTAAGAACGCTACTTTCTTGTCGTTTTCGAGCTGGGAGTCCAAGGCTAAAGCATGTTCCATGCTAAAATAATTATTTCTTGTTTGAAGGAAACATAATTAATAATGGTTTTAAAAAATGTTTTCCTTAATTACTTATTGTTTAGACTTCACCGTTTTTGTGGTACTTTTATTCGGCAATACCGCGAGGCTTAGGATTCTCTATATTTTTAATACCCTTTGGAATGGTTTATGACGTTCGAGTTATAAGGCTTGTGATCCCAGCAGTAATATTTGTTTTGATATATTCAATACTGCCACACAAAGAACTCCGTTTTATCATTTATGTTTTTCCTGTGTTGAATGTATCCACCGCAGTGTATTGTAATAGAATGTATGTTCAGTCGACCATTTGTTTATTGTAAACTACCCTAATACTATACTTATATTGTGGTTGTATGATTTTTTTAGTTGGCAGACAAAATTGAATCCAAAAGGACTAGCGAATTTAATTTCGTTGGCATTTTGTGCTGGCCACATAGTAGGAAACATTATTCTTACTATACTGTTGGCCAGTGCAGCAAAACAAAATTATCCCGGAGGCAACGCTATGACACTGTTGCATTTATACGAACACAATAATTTTCAAACAAATTACTCCGTCCATATTGGTAATCTTGCCGCTCAAACTGGCGTCACCCGATTTACACAACTGAGTGATCACTGGATGTAAGTGATGTTAATGCTAGATTTAGTATTTACACTAGAATATCACAACAGTATAGAATGTTCTATTTTTCACTCTTGATATTGTTAAAATTAAAATATTGTACAAACAATACATTTTTAAAAAACGTGACTGACTGAAAAAATCATTTGGATTAAATCGTCAATGCCAATTTTTATTTTATAATACAATTATAAATTTACTCTCTAAGTTTTGGTTTATTTTTTTAGTATAATAACGTCAATTTTTTTTTTTATACAGTTATAAGAAAACAGAAAATCTTCAACCAGGATGTGACGAACTCATGTCTTATACTCATTTGGTTGTCGGAGCAAGCAGTCGAGACAACAATGAAATGTTGCCATACCGTCATACGCATAGTGTGATTTCTACGGTGACTGGGTTTTCTCACGTTTCATTTAATTATAATATGTTCCCTCCAGTAAAAATTAAAACAAAAACACAATTATTTATATTGAAAAAGAACCTAGTCAAATCTGGCGTGAAAAGTAGTATAAAAAAAATAGTTGAAGACTACAAAAATGAACTTGAGTCAGAAGAGAAAATTGATTTAAATTTAAATTTATTGGAAAAAAAAACAAAACCCATTAAAGTCAAGGTGAAAAAACCCAAAGATTTGTAAAATTAAACTGATCAAAAGGTACTTAATAAAACTATTGAAAGAAAACATAATTCTAAACCAGTTGTTGATAGTTAAGGTTTTTTTTTAGGACATTTGCAAAGCTCCACGATTTGTTCCTACATTAAGCTGGTTCTTTTTTTTTTTAATGTACATTTATGAAACCTGATGAGCTGATTAACCTAAAAACAGATTGCATTTACAGTCATATTATTAATTCATATGCAATTTGCATAATGCAAGCTACTATATATTATATAAACGAGATTTTTTTTTTTAATTCATGTAAAATTGTTGGCAATTTTAATTAGTTTTCTAAAACACTAGATAGGTATATGTTTTGTATTCACTAGGGATCGATACTGTATATTTCAAAAATAATTATTTTTAGCTTTTAAATTTTAACATAGTCTATGAACATCTAACATGATAAAAAACTATGTTGTAATTAGTAATATCAATTGTTGTTTAGATTAATAAGTAAAAAAAAAAATTATTAATTTAATTTATTTTTATATAGTTAAGTTTAAAATTTAGTCTTCATACAAATTATTACATAGCTGATGTATTTTATATTACAAAAAGTATGTATAAACCTGATAATGAGCTGAATGTAATAAATTATTTTAAAGTAATAATTGTATTATCATTACTGCAGCGAAGATTTTGAGTTAATTTAATTTCAGATAATAATCTGTTTGAATATTTACCTACTGATACGGTGTGTTGAATTTCAAGCTGGATGAACTGATTAATAAATCTATTAAGCATTTTTATAAATAGTTATTGTTCAGGTGTTGATCAAAAAAATTCAACCATTTATACTGTATCTTCATTAAATTCACATAGGCTTAGTTAACAGCAATAATAAACAGCGTGATTCCTGTACTCCTATAAGCGCAATAATTAATAAATATAATTATATTAAATAGAAATAGTAGTAAAGTAAATGGCCACGAATATAGAAATCGGTGTCTCTTAGAGGTAACTAAGTATTAATATAATGTATAAATCTGAACACTGAACAGAAAAACATAAATACTAATATATGTAAGTATAATAGAAGAGTATATATTATTCTTATTCGAAAAAACATAGGCAATATATTACAGTATAATTTTTTAATTGGATATAATATAATATATTGTATATAATAATTATACATTAATTAGTTAGGTATATATAAATTTGTAATCTTGTTATAAAAACGTATAACTTACTATATGGCTAAAACAATATATATATATATATATATATATAACGAATAGTTTCTGCTAATTTTTCATCACTATTAACTAATAATATAAGTCGAAAAGGAGATTATAATAAAGGTCGGTATCATAATAAGTAGTAATAATTATATAATTCTTAAATAATAGACGTGTTACATATACATAATAAAGAATATAGGTAGGACAATTCATCGCGAAGTGAGGAAAATGGTTAAAAATTATACAACTACCAAAATTTAGTAGAATAATGTACCAATGTACATTTTTTTCATTTTTTGATTTTTCTTATTCAATTTGCCGACAATGTTAACCGTATTATAACTGAACTTACTATATAATATTACTAATATACCTATTCTGCTAGATACCTAGGTGTTTTGATATTTGTATTTACCTAGGTACCTACAGGTATAGATAATATTATATTAGGAGCTAAACTAAAAACTATAAATATGTACCTACATTTGGTTACACGAACAGGTACTTATATATACCTACCTATTAATTATATTCATAATTAAAACACTACAATACAGATATACGTACATGCTAAATTTATTCAAATATTGAAACACATATAAAACTCAATAAATATAATATATAATTAATGTTATATTATTATTATAATAATATTATGGTGTTAATAACTATACTAGGTTAACGACAGCGCTACCTACTCGTGAAGTCTGCCTCTATAAGATTATTACAAGAGACGACACTAACGAAAAAGGAGGAAGTATATATTGATTTTTATTTACAAATTTTGGTCCTAAACTATCAGTCGGTGACCGGAGTGACGCGATTTTAAAAATATTAAATGTGTGTACATAGTCGGATTTAATGGAAAAATTTAAATAGTCGTTTTAATGAGAAAAGTAAAACCTCGCCTAATAAATACTTTCGAGAGAGTCGGATCGGAGAAAGCCTTTATGAAGAATCTAAAACCTTAAACATAGGTATTGCAAATATGATGGCAAATATAATAATTTAAAAACTACACAGCTAAATATAAGTGAATTTATCCAAAAACGGCAACGGGTACGACTAAAATTGTATAGGTACCCGAATGGTATTTACTTTGTTCTATTATTTCATGTGTTAACGGCGGACAGTTGAGTGTCCGCAATCGTTAGATTTCACAATGACCAAGGGTCATTCCCTTATTCGCCCCAAAAAGGGTTTTGGGTCGAATAAGGAAAATGGATTAAATTATTTTTAGTAATTATATGTTATTGTTATTGTTGTATAATATTGTAAGACATCAAACGAAGTGGAAAACAATACATGTACCTATATATCGGAGGCTATACTATGTACGCGGTTTTAGAACAAGTTTAAATTGTAGATTTTGTTGACTAGATCTCTTCTGAACCGTCTAAGGGTGGAGCCGATGTACTGGAAATCTAGATTGGAACCGCTGCCCGTGGAAGGTAACATACCGGCTCGGGTGCACGACTCGCAGCAGAACTTTTTGTAGTAAGCATGGTTGCAATAGAATCCCTTGACGATCAGCGCACAGTTGGCGAAGTACCGGTTGTCCGTGCAGTTGGGATGAATGTATAGACCTGTGGGGCATTCGTCAAAATGATATTATGATAAATAACAGGCACGACGATCCGGGTGGCCTCTAGCAAGGTTCACCCAGCCGTGATGATATTATGTTTGTCGGTATTACCTTCGATTGTAATGTTGACGGACTTCTCGTCTGAACTGTAAGCGTTATAAGCTACACACTTGTACACACCGGAATCCGATGAGTTTGTATGGACCACTACCAGCTGATTGTTTTCTGCACATGGAATGACAGAACGTGTGTGTTAAGCTTGCACGGGCATGACTTAATTATTGCAACATATAATAATTAATTACCAGTCGTCTGAGTCCTCTCGGTGTTCCGGACCAGTTGGTCGTCTTTGTACCAAACCACAGACGGTGTAGGGTAACCGTCCACCGAGCAAGGTACGGTTAAGTCACCTCCTACTCCAAAAGTGGTGACCGGCATCGTTATGTTGACCCGAACGGGTACTAAAAATAGCAATACAAATGTTAATAACTGTTCAACCGATATGTATTTTCATTTGGCCAACTACACAGTGTACGAACTGCGAAAATTAGATTCTTTAACGATCCCTTAACCCGAACTCTCCCCAACTCTTTCCATCGCTAGGAGTTAGAACGTGTTCTAACATTGTTTTTTTAATAATAGGTAATTGTTCTCTAAATAAAGTAAAACGCCTCTAACGTGAATTGCATATTCACGTTATCGGCCATAATAGGTACTTAGAAAACGATTGTAAATATCGTCGACCTCTCTCTTAGTCTTCAATCACCATTCACACTTAAGTGGGGTGAACCACCCTCAACAGTTTTACTTTTCATTTAAATCAGATTATAATACGCGGGAAATCTATCTATAAACATTTGAAATCAACTCAAGCGAATATTTTTAATTCTTCATTTAAAGATTTTATGTTTAAAGATTTCATTTTCCAATTTAGTCTAAATATCCGTAATCTCATTGAAACTAATAGCGGAACACCCAGTAAATTAAAAAAAAACTATACTATAATATACTTCTACCGTGCAGATAAGCAAATAATATAAATCATTGTCAGCAAAATGTTTACAAACTAATTAAAAAATAAATAAATAGGTAACTGCGAGTAATAAGAAGAATGTAAGATATAAAAATATGGTTAAAACTAAACACCAACCCAAAGCTAAACGTGTTTAATAACAAACTACATATTAGATAAAAAAAATTGTTTTAGAATAATAGTTAAAATAAATAAAATTGGACTTAACTGTACTTACCAATATGTTGGTATAACATACACAGAAAAGTTTTTCGCTGGTTAATCGGTAAACATACAAAACATTCTCATTCTCGGCTACTTACATTTGTTCATCTCTCGATATTCTACAAAAACGCTCGATTTTCTAAAATGTTCTCTATTCTAATTGATGATAGGTACCCATTTTCTTACACAATCGATCTGTGTTAAATTACCATTTTACTTTTTTCCAATCACACAGTGTTCCTATCGCTACATTTTCTTCATATGTACCCAAGTGATTGCAAAAACTTTAATTCTTCAATGTTATAATAATACTGTTCGCTCTCTTAACACTTCTTTACTTCCAGACTTATTTCTATCGTTACCGAATACAAACTACCGCTAACCAGTCTTAATCTCGTTTAATTTGCTTGTACACAGTACAAGCAATTGATTAGGTGTAATTGTGGGGTGACATACGTACCGGTGAACACCTTTGACGTGGTGGACTCGATCACTTCCGGAGTGCTAGTGGTCAGTCTAAGTACGGGCGGCGGTCTGGTGATTTTCACCATGACCGGTTTGTAACGGATAATGTGACCGGTTACCGGGTCTCTTGGCGGTGGCACCAAGTACGGGTTGTCCAGCTGGTCGGCCGTGGGCGTACCGTACGCCTGGAGCGTTATGCTCCACGAAGCGGCCCGTCCCAGCCCGTTGTATGCCTGGCACGTGTAAGGACCCAAAACGTGGACAGTGACGAGCTTGACGATCAGCGAATGGTCGCGCCTTTGTTCGTATTGATCTGAACTCAAAGGCAGCATCCGGTCTGCACGCCACCAGGTAACTATGGGTCGGGGCCAACCGACTGCGTAACACTGCAGTACCGCGGGACCGTCTAGAGCTACCACAGCACCAGTGCTGTCCTCGCCGATCACGTTGGCAGGATGTGGTACCGGGTCTGTTATAGGTTAGTGGAAGGCATACCAGGCAGCACAAGAGATGACATGCAATCACCATCAACGAGATTAGGACACGCGAGCAAAGAAGTACAAGATACAATTAAGACACAACACAAACAGTTATAGACCCAGCTAAATGCAAGGTGATTTTAGTTCACCTAAGCAGAAATTACGAAAATGATCAAGGACTCAATTCGGCGACTCCTTGCCAACACTAAAATTAAATTACAACTGTAGGTAATTTTACTGAACACGGATCCAGTTAAATTGAGCCTCAGTTCCCTTCTTTGACATAATTAGAAGACTGAATTGACTGATCTCGATTGTAACTAAATACACTTGTTCATACGTAAAACAATAATAGTAGGGCGTAGGAAGTACCTGAGACGTTTGTTCCCATTTGTAATTTCTACTAAGGTAGTTTAATAAAGCGATCCGCTCAATATCTTGGATGATTTTACTAATGAACATCATACTTAGACTATAATATCAGTCCAGTTATTTGGGTTTTGCAGGTACTATGCAGATGATTGTAGTGTTGCCAATAAATTGATTTTTTACGTATAAAATAGTACTGTAAAAGTTTTATTTAAATGAGAATGTTTCAGCAGATGCGTAAAGATATTACGAATTCTCTTCTTACCAAAACATTAGCTAGATCAGATACTGTAAGCATAGCAGGATCTACGTGTGTTGACAACGTTTAGAACCAACACAAAATGAAAATCTAAATAAAATTAAAAATTATTTTAGATAGCTTCTTAATGTAACTTTGTATGAAGTTTTATCATTTGTGGGTACAAGTATTCAACGGGTTCTGAGTAGCGTTTAATTAAAGAGACATACTTATGAACAGAAAGAGTAGATGATGAATCTAAAAACTGTACAGTGAATATTAGAATTGCTGATAATACAGAACCATTTGAGTATTCCTTATTCATATTCTTGGGTTAACACCTCATAAGACACCCACTCCCACGATTTCAGCTTATGGGCGGAATACTATAGCATAATATTAATATAAACTCCGTTATATAAATAAATAGATCTATTGTAGGCATTGTCGATAAAATTCAAGCAATTTTATGTACAACTTAACCAGGGTGTTGTATTTGCACAAAAATAACCAGGCACCTTGAAGTTCATGACCAAGTGCATGAGGCGATTTAGGCCTCGGCAACGGGGGTCGTGCAGAAACTCGTCGGCCAACGAGGCCGCTGTGGTTAGGATGTACGAAATACGGTGGGCAGGCGTGGAACCATCAAATATGATGTAGACATTGCCCAATTCATTGGGCACGACGCTGTGCTTGAACATCTCTTCTTCGCACACGCTCAACGTGAACAACGTGTACGCGTCTAACAGCAGTCGGTTGTGGACAACGCTGTGTTTGATACAGTCGACCAGGGTGAAGCCCAAATACGGAATGGTGATGCGCCACGCGTCGTCCGGATTATGCGGCGAGTAAATGCACGAGTCGTTGAAGTACAAGGCCAACGTCCTCTGGGAGTGTTCCGTAAGCGAGATGGCCGACCAGTTTTCGGGCTTGTGGTTTTCGTTGAAGTAAAGGTCGTACCGCAAGTATTTGTTGGCGTACGAGTATTCTTGCGAGACGGCGTCAAGCGCTTCAAACATGTGCAATTGCTTTTTGTCCAGATGGCCGCTCATAGTGATGAACACGGGGTCGTGCAGTAGCCCGGCCATCTCGATAAACGACATGCACATGGCGGTCACTTCGACCATCTTGAGCAGGTACTGTTCCGTTTTCAGGCCGACAGCTTCCCACACCTGGTTGATCAGTATGACGAAAATTTCGGTTGAACACACGGCCCGCAACGCCGCCCCTTGCGACAACCTCAGCCTGCGGACCAGCTTCCTGAACCTATATATCCGGGCACGCAACACGTCGGCGTCCGTGGTGTTCTCATTGAGCGCCGCGAAGAACGTGTTGCCCAACTCGTCGCGAAACACTACCGGCAACACGTCTTCCGGTTCCAGGCCGTACACGTTGGACACGCGTTGCCGGAATAGGTCGACGCGTGCCGCCTCCCTCCACAGTTCTTGTTTGGCTTCCATATAAAGGTTGCAGCCCTTGCGCTTGCGTATGTTCAGTTTCCTCCGCTGCGATCGGCTCATTCTGCTCGGGTACTTTTCCTCGTCAGACAGCGTCCGGATCACCTCAAAGTCGGTCGAATTCGGCTCTGGCACCGAAACATCCAAATTATCCGGCACGGTCAACCAGAAATAAAGCGCTTCCCTTAAACGATAGTCGTGTCGTCTGTTAGGCCAACGCATCGAGTTGATCTTTTCAAGCTTCTCCGAGTACGTTGGCTTTAGTCTTGAAGTCATCATCAAATGACGAGAACGGATTGATGCCGATTGACGCACACAAACACCAATCGGCCAAAACGGTACGCAGAAAATGACAACAATCCAAAAATATTAAGCCACCAATTGTTTTTTTAACGAAAAAAAATAATTGCTGAATAACACAATACTAAGATGACAAACGAAATAGTAAAATTAAAGTTGTCAACGACGACGACGGTTGTATTGCGTTTTTATACTCGAACCAATATCTTATTGCATTCTTTCTTTTACACTATGGAAGCAACGAAAGCGACCACAATGAATATTTAAACTATTTCAAATAGAAATGGGAACGTTATGCATTACAAATTCTCTATATAGCTTCAAATAAATCGAACCACAGTCGAGTAGTCTAATTTTTACCTTATACAAGTACTTTGGAAAATACATTTATACCATATTTTTCCGTTTATACCATATCCATGTACACTTTTAAAAGAATAAAAACCTAGAATCTAACCAAATCTTTTGAGAGTGCGATATCTTGTCTACAGAGGCTAGACCGCACATAAGAAAAAAAAACCTTTGATTAACACATATTTGGGAAACTATTATTATCTCATCTTCGCGTCAATGCTAAATATAAGTTAATAAAACCGTCCAAGATTTGAGCGGAAAGCTTTATTCTGGTCACACTGTATAGCATCAATGGGCTCATGTTCAGAATATAAGTGTAATAAGTCGCTACCCATCACCAGCACACAGCGAACCTTTGAGAATATTGTTTGTACTCTTATAAGTATTAAGCGTTAAGATTACTCAAACTAAAAAACAATAGAAGAGCGTGCTCAAATGAAAACCGTATTGGAACCACATACCTTTGACGGTCAAGTAAACTTCTTTCCTGATGGGATCGCCAATTCCGTTTGTGGCTATGCAAATGTACAAACCAGAGTCGTATCTGTACAAACCGATTATTTGCAGCGTGCCGTCGGACGAAAGCTTATAACGACCTCCAGTTCCGTCAATCTGATCAAACAAAATCATATTATATCTATATATACAGCACAGTATGTGGATGCTTCCCGACTTCTTTCATATTCAGCAATTTTGCTAATCCCCTGGGATTATTGAGACCAAAAAAGTAACTCCAGATGAGGATGAGGAAGAAATCTGAACTGTGTATGGACCTATCTAGAAAAACTTGGGTCAGACTCAACCGTATACGCACAGGACAAGGAAGGTGCAATACCAACTAATTATAGTCGAGAGTCAATATTATAGCGAGGCTAGAGATGAAGACTAGAAACAAGTGTTGGTCCTTGAAAAGGGAGAGTGTGAGCAAAATGCTAATAAGATTGACATATGCTAAATGAGGGTAATGAAGAATTAATGACCTAGTAATGACCAACAGAGAAATCAGATGGAGAATATTAGGATAGTTAACCCAAAATGTTTATGGGAAAATATGTAAATACTATGCAAAGTGTGTTATTTTAACTGAGACTAATTATCTTACCAACGTCGTGTTCTTCTGCCAAACGATTGTGGGCGTAGGGTTACCCACCACCAAACATTTGAGGGATGCGTAGTTACCTTCTTCTGCTTCGACTTTGGTGTCGGCAACGTCTACAATTTGCGGTGGTGATGCTGTGAGATAAGAAATACACAAGATTAACACTTGAATGGTCGACCACCACAGCTCTGTTCGTGAATTTACTGACCTTTTTCCTGGGAAGCAATGACCGGAACAGGCGTGCTCGTCTGGTTGACCGGTAGTGGTCGCAAGCAGAATGTTCCACAACCGTTGTAGCAGCACTTGTCGTCTCCTATACAGTCCGCATCGGTTTTACACTGTTCGGCGCAGTCACTCTGATAAACCGCCAACTGTGGGCATTCTCCAGGTTTGAACACTACAAGCGAATTAATGAAATATTAGCTATTCAGAGGTTAACTCACAGTCTGGTGCAAATCACACCGTACAAGTACTTACCGGGTCTGCACGTGGGCTTATACTTGGAATCTCCGTTCTCAGATGTAAACACGTCTACTATACACTGGTAGTCGGGTGGGCATACCGATTTTTGGTCGGCCCCTGGCAAACAAGGGTTGTAACAGCGGCAGTCTTCGCAACCAATCGCGTTCACCCAATGCTCCAGCCCGTAAGGACATTGAGCAGCCGCCTCCTCCGTCAACTGTTTGCACCGCACTCGACCTGCCTCGCATATGTCCGTCACCATCGCCGGTTCTTCGGTTACTTTAGGAGGTATGCGCACATCGACGTCAATTTGATTTGCTAGAAAAAACGTTTAGCAATAAGCACAGTTGCTATTGATGTAGCACACTTTTCAAATTATTCTAGTCTGCACAACGATGACAGGATAGTATCAAATGGAGGTTATGCACTTACCACTGTCAATGTACGGCTGACAGGTTCTCTCGCAGACATCGGCCGACTCAAAGCGGTTGGCGTTGCCTTCGCAGCCTCCAAAGATGAACGTCTCGCAACGTCTCGAAGACGATTTGAAGTACCACATCTCGACCTGTAAGTGGAACAATAATTAACAACATACTATACTCAAGTCGTTCACTCGACCTAGTATACTCACTGTTTGAAGACACGGGCCGGGGTCCAGTGAGAAAAGACAAGCGTCGCTAGGTCGAGACGGAACGACGGCTGACTGCGAGACGGTCGTGGCACTCGTGGGATTGCGCACACATCGACCTTCACAAGACTGGCGATCGTTGAATCGATTCGTGTTACCTTGACATCCGCCGTATCTAAACTGGAAACACCTGTCGCTGCTTCGGTCGTAATACCACTGTCTGAAGTCTCCTCTGCACGGTCCTTCCACTTTCGGTAATATGCAAATGTCTAAAAGGCAAATTACCGTGCAAGTCAATGCTGTCAAATATTAAGCTTAATATAAATAACTCCTAGGTACCAAATACCTTGCGCGTCGAAACACTGTTTTTCACAATCTTGTTTCGTTTCGAAACGGTTCTCGTTGCCCCCACAGCCGCCATACATAAACTGTTTGCACACTCCATCCTGACTGTCGTAGAAGTACTTCGGTGTCCCGTTAGTGCAGTTGCCGCGGTCTTGATACAAGAAACATTTGTCTGCAAAGCAACACAATTTTAAATGTATCCAAATGTTTTGAATCTGTCTCCAACCATCTCGACATTCATTCAATTTAAATTTAATTATTTTGTTTTTGAACAAGCATAGGTATATTCAATCATCGAGGAAAATAATCCCAGAGATTCGAATAGCATAAAACGACGGACACAATAAATGGCATCCACCCACTGTATTAAATTATCACTCGCCGATGACTAAAACGTATTCCCTTGCTGTATTCAATCCCCCGTTAATTCTTTAGTTATAATTTTTAAATATTTTTATATTTTAACATTTATGCTATCACCAACCTTTTGAAAACCCAGCAGGAGGTAAAGTCGTCAAACGGCTACTGCTGCCGGTACACTGTCGTTCGCAAGCGTACTCGGAGACAAAATTATTTTCATTACCACCGCAACCTCCATAGTAGAATTGTCTACAACGCTCTTCCAAAGCGTCAAAGTACCAACGACTGGTGTAGTTATGACATTCGCCGACCAGAGCCGGTAGCTTGCAAGTGTCGAGTTCTGAAAACCGATCACGGTAATTAATTTTGCTGCGTTTGGTAGATGCTAAACGTCGTTCAGACATGAAGATTTGGCTTACTTCGCCTTGGCGGGCACTTAGTTTCGCAAGATTCTTGCGTTTCATAGCTGTTAGCGTTCCCACCACAACCGGTGAAATAGAAGGGTTTACATGCATTTTCGTTATTATCAAAATACCACCGTGGAATTTTCTTGTCACAACTACCACGAGCCGCAGTCATCAAACATTCTTCTAAACATGCACCAAAACCCAAACAAGCGTTTATGCGTGTTAATAGCGTGCGAACTTATACTTAACGTTCGCTAATAAAATTAAAATGTTAATTAACTCCAAACAATTTGATCTAGTATCACAATAACCGATTTACACACGTGTTATATAGGTATGTATTATATATTATTGTCACCAATCGCCGATTACAGGTGCGGGGTGCCTAATTAAAGTCCACCTGTTATGTTGGGTGCAGAAATACATTAGGTATGTGATTGCTGTATTTTAATTTATTTTCGATACCTTTTAGGGATTGTTTCGAATAACATTTTGCAGCACAAGTACGAAACGTTAAAAACCTATTTTTGTTTCCACCACAACCTCCGTACGAGAATTTCTTACAAGTGGTATTTTCCGCACTATAATACCAATACACATCAGACCCGTTACACGGTCCAGAGTCTTTGGGCAGTGTGCAAGTATCTGCTTCTAAACAAACAACGTGTACATTATAAAAACGATCACGAGATTCTTAGAAGAAATTATTAACGAAAACGGCGGCGTTTGATCGGGGAACGCGTCAAACGGTACCTACTGTGGCCTATTCGGCACCTTGGCAATAATCAATAGCATGTTTTTTACTCATGCAGAACACAAAAAACATATTAGATATATTATATTCACTCAGTTCCACTGAACATTGTCAAGCATATGTTCCGTGAAACTGGTCAATAGCGTATGCGCACTACTGCTATAAAAATCTATTCAGCACAATCATTAATGTTTAGGTACACTACTATGCATTGAAATAAGGGTCGACCACTAGGCCGGCGCATACCTTGTGTTTTTAACGGACTTATGCACTTGTGTGCACATGATTCTTTAGACATGAAATTATTCTTATTTCCTTTGCATCCGCCGTAGTTGAACTCTGAACAAGTCCTAGTCGTTTTGTCGTAAAACCATCGCGTGTAGTTGCCCTGGCACGGCCCCGTCGTAAGGGGCTGCTCGCAAGCATCTGAACGGTCGAAAAGTCAAACAAACATCATTATTTAGACCACTATGACTCAATTAGTACTTACCCAAAGTATCGGGAATGACGCAAATGTGTTCGCATTCCTCGCGAGTCTGGAACTTGTTGTTGTTGCCGAGACAGCCACCATAGATGAACTGAGCGCACTGTTTGCGGTCGCTATCATAATACCAAGTAGGATAGTATCCTTCACAAGGCCCCACGCTCTTCGGCAGGTAGCACACGTCTATAAAATTCATTTAGCAACAATTTTTAAAGGACAAAATAATAAGCGTTAACACGTTCATGGACACTCATAATTTTTGAAATTTCCAATACTGAATAGTTCGCCCAATAGTCGAGTTTCCTTTATCATCTGACACCATTGAAAAGATTATTGCTATAGCTGTAATACCATAACATGAATTTTTCATATTACTACTATAGCACTAATGCCACCAAAATGTCAAAATATCCTATTACTGCTATAGCAGTAATGTCCGTCAATGTGTTAACTCTTCCAAGCCTTTCTGTTCGATAGTATCGTTTTTCCCATTTCTTCTATAAGCTACCACTTCGTAATTACGATAACGCTTATCTCATTTGGTACTTCTGTCATTAGTTTCCAAAACATTTAACTTTACTCCTTACTCCCTATATGCTACTCCCAACAATTCTACCCCTGTAATCATCCTTCATCCTATCCGAACGACTTGTGTTTCCTTTGTTAGATTTAGCAAAACTGGGCTCAAAAAAAGCTTCGATCATAATCATTTTTTATAGCGTCTTACCTCGTCCGGTGGGTTCGACACAAACGGCTTTGCATTCTTCTTGGGTTTTGAAGCGATTGTTGTTACCGTTACATCCACCATACCAGAACCTAGAACAACCGCCGTACTCTGTGTCGAAGAACCATTTGACAGTGAACTCGGAACAGCTGCCGCGGTCTTTAGGTTCCTTACAGTTAGCTAAAAATTGATCGATCCGATTTAATTTAAAATCTATTCTAGACATCAAAAAAAACTTGCTAAAACTATACCGTGACTACTTACCTCCCGGCACTGCCGGTTTAGCTGAACATCCTTCGAAGTTCTCGCCCCGCGCTTCCGTGACGCCGTCCAAACAACAACCGAACCTGGAAGCCTCGCAGCTACAGTTTTTAGATGCGTCCTGAGCCGGTGTCTTGTTATCGCCACAACATCCAAACTGTGAGTTTTCACATCCGCAACCTTGCAAATTCGGACCCATCGCTCTAGACACACCATCCGGACAGCAACCAAACTGATAAGTGTGACACGGGCATCCTTGGTACTGAGGACCGGAGGCGGGGGTGAATTTATCGGGACAACACTTGTGTTCGGTGTACTGACAACCGCATCCATCGTTGTTTGGTCCTCTAGCGGTAGTTGTGTTATCCGGACAACAACCGAAGGGAGTGTATGTACAGCCGCATCCTGTAAGCGAGCAAATGATTTATTCAAATCAATGATAAGTATCAAGTCCGAGCATTTATTACCTTGCAAGTTGGGCCCGTCGGCCGATACAATGTTATCCGGACAGCAACCGTATTGAGTATCCAAACAGCATCCTTCCTTATTAGGTCCATGCGCGGCGGTACTGTTATCGTCGCAACATCCAAATGTTGTATTCGCGCATGCTGGCAAGCAATCTGAAAATATCAATACTCATCAGCCGATTGTTGAGTTGGTTCTATAAATAGTAAAAATGTTTGCATTACCAGTGTCATTTCCATTCAACGTGCAGTTATCGAAATCAACGCCTACGCAACCTTCCAAGTTGTTTCCTGTTGCAGAAGTTACTCCGTCAAGACAACAACCGTATTCGGATGATTGGCAAGAATCGTAATTTAATTCGGTAGTAGACGAAACCGGCATGAAACCATCAGTTGTCACTGGGAAACCAATTATTATTTGACTTTAAATCACTTAATATAACAAGTTTTAGAATAAACATATTATTTTTTTTTTAAGTGGATCTATTCTAGAAAAATACATTAAATATTTGTAACACGTGCTTGATGTCTTTGACAATTTTACAAGTGATAAAACCAGTAATGAGTTTAAAAATTACTATAATTTCAAAATGCAACACGACTGTGAATTCGAGCTAATGTAAAAATAGACAATTAGGGTAGATTAGGACATTCTACTGTTTAAGTTCTACTCACTGTTATCCTGACAACCCTCGAAGTTTGGTCCCGAGGCTGCGGTAACGTTATCCGCACAACAACCGAATTTGGTTTCCGAACATGTATCACACTCTCCAGATCCTTCAGCACACTCGTAACATCCTTGGAAACTAGGTCCAGTGGCTGGTGTTATTCCGTTTGGACAGCAACCAAATCTGTCCAAGTCAAAAAATTATTTTACAGGCCTTTAACACCATAAAAACTAGTATATTATTTATACTAATAATGATAAATTACTGTGAAGTCTGGCAGCCGATTTCAAGAGCTTCCGTGGTGGTTATCACAGGGACGGTGGTCAATTCAACAGGGCATCCTTCGTTGTCATTACCCTGAGAAATACTAAAACCGTCTGGACAACATCCGTACAAAGTCTCGTTACACATAGACGGAGGACATCCTTCGTTGTCGGGTCCGCTTGCTGGCGATACTTCGTCCGGGCAACATCCATATTCCATGTCTTTACACGTATGTACTTCGGCACAACCTGAGTCGTTGAAATCGTCAGTAAATAATCTTTAATTGTTTAAATGAGTTTATCTTATTAACTTAAAAAAATCTTTACCTGAACTAAACGGCCCTTTGGCTGGTGTTTTGCCGTCGAAACAACACCCGAACTCAGACTTCTCGCAAGCTCTGCTCTTTTTCTTTTTACACTTACGTTTCGAATCGTTCAATTTACGAATTAACGGGTTTACATTAGGCGTACCTGTTTTTTATGGTGTATTGGAGTTATAATAATACTATTAGTGAACTATTATCAAGGACCTAACATTATTTATAATTAATAACGTTAAGCCATACCTATATATTATTATATTCGGTTGAAATTACCTTTTTTGGTCGTCGTGCTAGTGGCTTGGCTGGTGGAAGATAACAAATCTGTAGACGATTGTGTGAGATCAGTGGAACCCGTTGGTTGGTCTGTAGTGGACGACATAGGCTCGGTCGAAGAAAGAGATGAAAGTTCTGGACTCGAAGATGACGCCGGCGAAGAAGACGACAGTGGACTCGACATGGAACTCGATTCGGTTTCCAGAGTACTGTCGGATTCGGAACTACTAAACGATTGGACTGTGGTAACCATAGAAGATGTGGACTCTGCGGAAGTCTCAGTATTGGAAGTTGTGTCCACAGCATCGCTGCTGCTGGTCTCTGTAACCTCTACCGTTGTATTTGTGTAGGTTTCTGTGGTAGTTGTGAGCACCGGTGGATACGTGACATTCAAGCTAGTCAATTCGGTAGAACTAGTAGAACTGATTTCGGTGGATGACATATCAGTGGACGAAACATCGGTAGACGACATGTCCGTAGACGACAGCTCAGTAGACGGCAGGTCCGTAGACGACATGTCCGTAGACGACATGTCCGTAGACGACATATCCGTAGACGACATGTCCGTAGACGACATATCGGTGGTTGAATAATCAGTTGAAGACGATATTACGTCGGATGGTAAAGTGGTCGGTGACGATTTATCGAATTTCAATACGACATCCGGCAATGCTTCTCTCTTAGGTCGTTTGGGCTTAGCCTTGGTGGTTCCAGAGGGTTTGCTTGCTTTCGGTTTGGCTGTTGTCTTTGGTGTAAAGGTAGTGGTTTTAGGTGTTACCGTGGTCGTCGTCGATTCTTCGGTAGTTGTTGTAACTGTCATTTCTTCTTGCGTTGTGGTTTCGACTGCAGCAACAGTAGTTTCTTTTATGTCTGTGACAGTTTCAGGAGGACTGTCAGTTTCAGTCGAGTACGGTATAGTGGTAACCTATTACAAACATATGGTTTTCACATCAGTAGATTCTAAATATTAATTTTATCTTATTAACGGATTACCTCGCTGTCCAGGTCGATGGCAAATGGAGTGACAGTGATCATTTCGTCTTCGCATTCGTCGTCCGACGTATCTTCTTCGGAAATCGGCTTTTTCGATTCTACCGGCAAGATTTGATCTATAAAAAGAGAAAGGTTGTATTAAAATTTGATTTTATTGTAAATCCACCAAACTACCTTCTCCGCACGGTTTGTCGTTACACGAGTCGCTGGCATACAAAATGGTATCCTCGTTACACTGTTTGGCAGTCACGGTTTTATTACCGATTATGCAGAACACTTGCCTGCTCTTCTCACCCGAGCCACATGGTTTGGTACACTACAAAAAAAGAGGCATAAAGATAAGGGCAATTAGGAAAGACCTCATCACTATTACTCACCGCACTCCAAGGTCCCGAGAACCATTCTCCCTTGCAAGTCTCTTTTCCGGTACAGTTTTTAGTGTCTTCGTACCTTTTGTTAGGATCGCATTTGGCTACGTCGACTTTTTTTATTGTCTCCCCGACGAGAGTGCCGCAAAATACCTTGCGAACCTGTACACCCGTGCTGCACTTGGAAGAACACTAAAAACACCACATGCAAAAGCTTACGTTTAGGTCACGTTACGCATAAATCAAATTTTGGCAAACTTACTTCGCTCCACTGAGTGGCGTACCACTGAAATTCGCAAGCGTCCGACGGTGTACAATTTCTTGACGTTTCTGGATACTTTGACTGTTTGCAAAATTTGGAGTCATATTGTTTGCCCTTTGAGTTTGCGCACACCACTTGTCTTGTTTCAACGTCCAAGTTACAATCGCCGCACTGAGCGAATAAACATAGAAAATGTTCGAAAATTCAGTATACATAAAGATTCAAGAGTAAACATCATAATCTTACCCCCGACCACGTAGATATCACCCAATCGACGCCTTCGCAAGGGCGAAGCTCGCACGGCTTTTCTGTCTCGGGCTTTTCGCTATCGCAGTCGCTGTCGTTGAGTACATTGATTTTTTTATCCACTTTTCTGTAACATGTCACTTTTCTTGTCTGCTTTCCCGGACCACACAGTTGATCGCACTAAAACAACATTAACGTTATTAAATCTGTAAATGTGTTTCCTAAACATTAATTCGCATTATGTGTCGTTTTCCAGATATCTAAAAACTTACAGATTTCCACGGGTCAGTGTGCCAAAGCGGACATTCTAGGCCAACGTTACAAGGCTGTGTGATTTCTGGTTTTTTTCCATCATACTGTTCACAATAGGCGCTGTCTATGGGCAAGTCAACGCCGCTAACTCGCCGCACACATTTGATCTAAACATAAATAATAAAAAATATGCTTATTATTCCATTATTATAACAGTCCTCTAGCCTAACGTAGTTATTAAAATGCATTACTGAAATTTAGAGTAGTGCAAACCGTAATAATAAATTACGGTTCATCGCTTAGCATAAGGTACAATTAAAAAAATTAAAAAATGATTGAAAAATGTATCTCGTGCGTACGTCTCTTGTTTGAGTTCCGTTGTTTCCACATTTGTGTGTACACTCCGACCAACTGGTTGGTGACCACTTAGGTGGACAGGGTTCCATTGAACAAGATTGGGTACTCAATGGTTCCAAAGCAGGATCGCAAAGTTCTGAGGGTGCAGATGTCGAGTCGTTCTTTTGAGCACACCAAACATTTCTTGTTCTTGTTCCTGTTTACATAGTTGAGATTTAGAATAGATTGTTTTATACACTTAACAACTGTAGGTAATTAACAGATAGTATCCAAAACTTTCAATGTACCTACTTAAATATATAGTGATAACAAATGAATAATGTCATAGATGTTTTACTTAACCCATCGTGTCCATATCTTAACCCAAAATAATATTAACTAAAACTAGACAAGTCGAGGTACAAGATATTTACACCGTCAAGTCTAATGACTTATATCACTTATTGAGTCTGCTAAAAACTAAGTATTCCGTATTTCATACCTAACCTAACATATTATGAATGCATGTTTGTATGGAAAACGAACGTGAAAATTTCAAATATCTGTGTGCAATAAATTTGGCTGTGCATCTCAGAAAAAAATTCATACAAGCGAATTATAAAGAGTAATACTATTCATTGGTTGGATTTGAGTTCTATGTGATACATTATATTGTGTTATTTAGAGTTTTTAATCAAATATTTACTTAAACAAATAAAATGTATTTCCAAATTCGTTTTTTTTGTGCCAATAAAATAATCGAATAGTTACAATTATTATGTTTAAATAAATAATGTTAATTTTTCATTGAAAAAAAGGTATTTAAATAAAAAATCAGGAGTTTTTCTGTAAATTATCAGTAAAATGTGCACGGTTAGCTTGCCATGGTAATTTTTATATCTAAAACTCACATCAGTGTTTATAGTAGTTTAAGTATGTGTTGTGTTTTTACTGTTATTATTAACTAGAAAACTGTCACTTAGGGCAAAAGTATACGGCAAACCCGGGGCGGCGTTCACTATAATTTATTTTCAGTCAAATACAATTAACGCGTTTGGTATAAGGAAAACCTTAAAACTAAGCTTGCCGTACAGTAACCATCATGTCTAGAGGTTATTTTGTTTCAAAAAAAAAAAAAATATATATATATATATAATAATAATAATGGTTTTTTGACATTGGGCATTAGGAATTATAAATCATAAAAATGTCTTTTTACCTCCGCCACAGCTCGTGTTACATTCGGTGAATTCGCTGTACATCCAGCTGTAACCTCTGGACAGGGTTTGTCTTACAGCGTCGGTCGGAATGCTGTATTCATATTCGATGCCAGGATTCGATTCTTGGTACAGCAGCTATAGAAAGAGGATAATCATCAATTACTTTAATAATAATATAAGTATTCGAAGCGCCACCGGTATTATTGCTGCTAAATAGCACAAAAACAAAACGTTTGCATCGGACAGTAGCCAGTAGGTACCTAATTAAATATGCAATACCCAAATTGTTTTCTAGGCAAAAGTATACTACTATCGTCCGAAAAAACCTATAAGTTATTATATTCGGCGAAATTGAACTGCAGCGCCTTTTACTACTTTTAAACAAGCCGAATAAAAATATAGTTAACATTTATCTATAGTAGCAATAATATATATTTTGGAGTAGAATAAGTCTATAAATATAATGAAAGATTATTCTGGCTTATGCCTAAAAAAACAATGCTTTAAACATGCCCTGGAGCATTTTAAATACTCATCATGTCTTACAACTTAAGTCTTAGTTTTTAAATAATATATTATTAAGTTATTACTAGTTCAAGCGAAGCTGAGAATAAATATTGATTTTTTTTTTATAATCAACAGATTTTAATTCAAGTGTTTTATTAAAATAAAAGTAATATAAAACCAAAACTGTTTTATATATAAAAAAAAATTGTTATCAATGTTTGATTTTTAGTTTTAAGATATTTTATAGTCTTATATTGAAAAATAAATAAATAAAATAAGTGTCATAAATTTAAAAAATGGGAAACAATTTTTTTTTATATTTTGTATTTTAAATTTTAAAATATTTTGTATTCAACATTTCAGATGCTACAACTTAGGCGTGGGACCAATACCACAATGCTGAGTTGCACAAAAATGTATTGGTTCCATAAACCTTGTTTGGACTAATCACAGTGTTCTAATGAAGGTTTATGGAACTAATAAAGTTTTGTGCAACCCAGCATTGTGGTATTGGTAGTAATGTGAAAACACTCCCCTCTCCGGAGCTGGAGATTTGGCGAAAAAAAGGTATTTTTTTATTGTCTATTCCTGCTGAGGAGACAGTGTTGTTTAACCAAACTTGACTTACGACAATGAAAATAGCCTCCGTGATTGGCCCCAACGCTGTTATAATCTCGGGAGTGTACAAAGTTCTTTTTTTTCTCTCATAATGAAACACGGTACCGCAGAATTGCAAACTCCTAGGATAATCGATTTTCCAATTACCGTTCAGGTAATAGTGTCCGGTTACATTTCTGATGGCTAGATACCAAACGAAAAATAGTAATTATTTCTTATCTTGAATATTAGTAAACTATCATTGAAAATTCTGTTTTTTCTTAAACGTACCCAAATAATTGTTGGACGGTTGAATTTCTCTGACTCTGATATTGGTAGCACCCGCGGGAATCAACAATATATCCGTGTATCCTTTAAAAAATCATTAAGGGATTGAATTAAATCATAATAAAAACGTATAATGTTGCAACGGTGATACAATGAGTTGATTTTAAATTTTGTTTCTTTTTACAATTTTATCTATTTGCTTGTTTAACTGAAATGCTTACCATACTGCAAGTCGTTCATGTCCAAAACACCTCGGACTGTATTGCAATTTGTGCCGTCGCCTCCACAATTACGGCATCGGTCTTCCCTGATCGGAGAACCGAGGACATTGTCGCATCCGACAGGCTAAAATTGAAAAATTTATACTTACATAAATATGTTTCATAATTGGGGGTCAATTCAAAAATTGACCAAACACTTTTTAGTGAGATCAAAATCTATCCCATTAAAATATTGTTTCATTCTTTTATCGATTCATTTAATCGTTTACCCGATTTGTAAATTACTTTAAAAATAATTAAGTGATTTTTTTTTAGTTATTTGCCATGTATCAAGATAGTAACATGCATTATGAAAACTAGTTGACGAAAAAAAACATTTTAAAGAGACCGAGTAGCTTAAGAAGGGATACGACTAAAATAGTTAAACTTTATAAAATACTTGTTGACATAAATCACTTATGAATTTATTTAATCGTTAAATAGACTTATTGACTCGTTTAATCGAGTTGTTTAGTCTTTCACAACAAATTTTTGGGACAAGGAGTCCACATTTAAAATACCGAAACAGGAATCCTAAGGTTAATCCTAGTAATTACCCTTCAACAACAGACATTATTCTTATTACTTACTTGTAAATACTCAATAGTTAACTCATTAGGTGGGGACAATCTATGGTTTAACTACAACGTAATCGAGAACCATTTATCAGCTTTTTTAGTGCTTTTAGTATTGTAGTCGAATTATTATTTATTTATTTCTATAAATTGAACAATACTACAGCACTATAATCTATTGTAAAATCTAGTTTAATAAACACGGTAAAATAAAAAAGTTACAGTTATGCAACATGTCCCCGTTAGCAAAAAACCTGATGAAAACACGATGGCTATAGAACAAAAAACCTTTAAAAAATTATAAGGTGAAGAACTGCTTGAGTGAAGCCAAATCTCAGAGGCCTAAGTTTACTATGAAAATCTATCTATATCGATGGACTTTGGCCTTCCCAAAATAAAAACTATGGAACCGCTCCTGTAATCAAAGCATCGAACCTACCATGCATTTGCCTTCGACGCAAACATCCAATCTCTCTTCGTCGCATGTTGTGCCATCTATCACCTTGTTTCTGTGTCTGTAGTAAAACCGTTCGCCTTTAGGCATACAATTGAGTTCGCATTTGTTCGGCGCTTTAGTATACGGTATCCATCTGTACACACAAGGCAAAATATATTTATCAAAAATAATTGCCAACCGAGTCACATCAAATGATGCGGTCGCCAAACTCACTCGTATGTCGATCCTTCGAATGGAACGCGATTGAACGCTGAACATTGTTCGAGGCGGAAATCCAAACTGCCCCGCGGACACCGCTAAAACACATTTGTATATTTAGGACAGCGTTAAATACAGTATAATCCCAGAAAAGCGTCTCTGGAATTGGATTGGTGTAAAATAGAAAATACTCACTTGAGTATTACACGAGTAGTATCGTTTCGATGGGCCTGTACATTCTTCGGTACCATCTGGCCTAAAAAACAAATGAAAAATCATTGTATTTAGGTAGGTCAAAGGTTTTAAAAAAATTATAACTGAAAATAACAAGTGACATAAAAAAAAAAACCACTTTAATATAAATCCGTAAATGGTAAAACAATATGTATACATCAAAATAAATGTTATTAGGGTTTTGGTTTACCTAAATAAAAAAGAAGAAGATTAACTACAGATTATTGAAGAAAAAAATTGCAATTTATAGGTAGGTACACAAGGTTTTCCAAAAAATTATAGCATGTCATATTTTAATACAATACAATCGTTTTTAAGCTTTCCTTTATTTTTTATAGAGACTGCACTTTTTATGGAGCGCTATACTTAAAGGAGAACGACTTCCTAGTACAATATTTGTAGAGTTGTTGGATAATACAATTTGGGCCATTTGACAGGAAATCTGACCAACCTGTATGTTAAACACCGTCTAGTTTGGTAAGCGACTCCTCCGCCGCAACTCCGGGAACATTGACTATCGTCTGACCAAGGAGTCCATTCGCCATATCCTTCAGGACCGCCTCCTTCAAGGTACACGTGGTACTCGGGTATGAATCCGGAACTGCTAAACGTAGCGTTCCACTGTTGTCTTTTGTGTCTGCCATGTCGGAGGCGATGCTACAATAAATAAACCCAAAAATTATATAAAATAAAACAAACTATACAAACGCAAAAAAAAAAAAAATAGAAAAACTAAATTTACAACAAATTATTGATAATATACAGGTAATTTAAATTTTATGTTATTTAGCATTTATTTCGATGAAATACTCAAAATAGGTAAAAAAGAGCAAGTATAAATATGTTTATATATTACATAATCTACAACATACTACAACTGGTCTATAACCAGTTTTAGAAAATTACTTTTTAAGTTAATAAAGTTTAAAATTTAGAAAGGAAGGTCCTAAAGCGATAGAGTAATGCGCACAAATAAAATAAAACTACACTCCACTATTTTTCTCATGACTGGTTATCGACTAGTCAACATTTTCAGAAAATTATTCTTAATTTAAAAATAATAATTAAATATATAAATAATGATTTAAGTTTCAAACGACGATAGAGCTCTGTAAAATACTAAAAAAAGGTATTTTTATAATATTGCAGATCATGAAGTATAAAAACATATTTGTAATTGGTAATTTTTTCCTATTTTGAGTATGTCAACGAATATCTGCTAAGTATCATAACATTTAAATTTTGAATGACCCTGTATTATTTTTAACAATGATATATTTGTAAATTGTTGTTACTATTCAATAATAGTCATCACTTCGAGCTTAAACCCTGTCCATACTAAGTTGAAACACTTAGCAACTTACTGTGTTGCTGTATATTGCTTCATATTTGTTTAATAAATGTTACCTTAGTGTGGGCTCGGTGTAACACAAAACCAATATTATGTACAGAACAAATGATTTGAACACATCGTATTTTGTTCAGAAAAACAGTTATTAATTATATGCATAGTGTCACATACATATACAAAACTCTAACAATAACTAATAAAAATTTGAATTAGAGGTTTTCTTTAAAAAACAATTTTCTAGCTTTCATTTTTTTTCCTTACATTTAGAAATGAATTTAACTAAAACATTTTTTTGCTTTCATAATTGATAAACATACAAGAAGAACACAGTTTTTTGTTTTTCTTAATGTTAAAATTAAAAACTAGATGCTATATTTATTTGCATTCAGATACATTTTTATGCAACTGATTTTAGAATTATTTATAAGGGGTAGTGTTTTTTAATGAATATTTCTCTTTTTTCACGACCTTAAGATTTGTATCGAACTGTTATTTACTAAAAAATATATAACTTTAATAAATAACTAATACAATTAAATAAATTACAATAAAGACTTGTCCCCTCACCGATCCCACTGTGCTCCGTGTCAGTATGTCTTATGAAAATCTTAAGCGTTTTTCTAAATAAATATTTAATTAGTTAATTGTTAAATTACTATTGGACTGTGGCTATTAGGTAAAACAAATAACAAAGTGTAGGTGCGCAAAAAAAATGAACTTTGGAAAATATGTTTTCAAACAAACGTTAAACGGGCAACATATTTTTAGAAAGTCTCATTTCTTTAACTGGACCGTCGATTTAACATTATTTTTATTCGTGTATTAAGAAAGATCAGTACTTGTACAGTACGATGTTTTCTCACGAATACGTCAATGAATACACTACACGTATCACATGAATATATTTTTTTTAACAAATAAATAATCGAATAACTCGGTTGGGTAATAATATTATAATGGCCGGTACCTCAACCGCGGCGAATACCCACTGGGGGATTTAATTACTTATTAAAAAGTACATACACGGTGGATGATATTGAAACGGCCCCAGCGGCAGCTTGGGATGTAATAACTGATTTAATGCACTCATATATACAGATATAAATATAATGTACCATAGGCAACAAGTAATATACCTATATGCATGTATCATGGGCGGATAGAATCGAGGAGGTGATTAATGGAGTGTTAAAAATAAAGCCAAGACATGTCACGGAATGGGCGCTTCTCACGATCTCCCTAATCATCAGCGACGGTCGTGGCGGACTGTGGTAAAATATGGCGAGCAAAATAATGTAAAATACCGAAGAAACGTCGATTCCGATACCGATTACAACGCATAATATTCTGGTTAGGTTAAGTATACCGTACCTATACAGGTAGATAAGAAAACAACCACCGCCGGATGTGTGTGTGTAACTTTTATACGGGCCCGGCGTGTGAATCACGGATTTCTTAAAGAGTGGCTGTGTATGTGTGTGGATATGTTAATAAAAAAACTTGTCTAAGAGGAATTGATATTTATCTATGATGATATGCGTGTATGCGCTTTTGTGTGTACACGGTCAATAGTGTTCCAACGATGAGGCCGAGGTTGACAAAGCTTTATCCAAACAATAAATCAAACACTTTAAAAATGGGCGGTTTCGATAGTTTAGTAGTTAAAAAAAATAAATGAATGATCAATAAAGGTATACATGATTAGTTCATGATGGCACTGCCGAACAATTCTATTTATTATTTAATTTTAAAGTCTTTCGCACACAAAGTCACCTAAACTAAGTGTGTAAACTATAAAAGCTTTTAGACGTGGGAAATAATGTTAGATAGTCTACAAAAATCAAAAATGTTTACCAAAATGTATATTTTATTATGAACTGTCATATTTTAAAATAAAAATAGAATAGAACCCCACCAACTGAAATAGGATAAATTATTTTCAATTGAATATTGATAATTACCCATTATTATTTTTTTACAACTTTTTCAACAATTTTAATAAATATCTCTTTAGAGCCAGAAATAAATAAAGAAAAATAAAATGTAATTTTGAATAGGCCAAAAAACTAATAGTTGTATTTTGTTTAATCTTCTTAAAACTAATTATACAATTTTATTTTAAAAATCGAATTTGCATTAACCCCATTTTTTTTTAAATGCATGCTTGACCTTAAATGTGATACATACAAAAAAAAACTAAATTATAATTATATTTATTTTTTGCCGTTAAAAGTGAAAATACTGGCAAAAGCAAATGAAGCTCCATTTACCAGGGACTCATACATCGACGTCAATCCACCCGCAATTCGTTTGCGACAAGGCGGCAACAGTTGTGTTTCTCATGGACTCCTAATACCGCTGAAATGTATTTACAAAGGGTGCTTTGTAAAATAACAATTGCTACCTTCAATAATATTTGTCTTGCAAAATCTAATATAGGTAATAATAATTTTACAAATTTACGACTAATTAAATGTATTGCAAAAATGTTTTAGTATGAAAATCATTTAATATGAATACACAATATTATTTTTTAGGTAACGTTAAATGTATTTCATTAGTAATAATGTTTTTCCCACTTCGTTTATATTCAAGATCGTCGTAAAAATATTTGTATTTTTATATTTTTAATTTTTGATATATAACATTTTATATAAAATCTAAAAAAATATATCAACGTAAAATAATTTTTTTTTTCTGTGTAGTTTGTTAACCTAATAGTTAGGCAGTCTGCTATATTAATTAAATTAAGTTGTTTCTCTCTTTTTAATATTACTTGATTAACTATGAAAAGTTCCAAATATACATAGAAAATCAATGGGTTGAAGCTTTAATTAAATGCATAGCTGGAAGTACTTATTTTGAAACTGCGTTTTCAGTTTTGTATTAAAATAAAAAAAAGTTGTAATTAAAAACAGAAATTGTTTCTCTCAATATTGCTTGTCGATAAGTAATTTCACGGCATCACAACAATCATATTGTTGTACATTACATATTTTAATCAGAACCTGTGATTAAACAAAATGCACCAAAAGAAAATTGCAGCTGTGATGAATTAAAAAAAAAAAAATTATTTTTATTTTTAATATGCATATTTTATTAAGATATAATTGCAAAATTTGCAATTATATAAATTGCATCATAGAAATTGTGCTCTCTGTGCAAATATCACAGGTAATAAAATATATTTAAAAAAAACCGTAAAAATCATTTTCATATTATGATTTAAGTATCATAGGCGACAACATTTGTTAAAAACAAATAAACGGTTAAATGAAATACAGGGGGGAAAAATTAAGGTGATCATATACCAATTTTATTTGAAACTCATTTGAACTTTGTTATCTTGCGAGGTATGTAAATCAAGGTAAAATACATAGATGAAATTAGGTATGGATATAAATATTTATCTTGGTTCTGTAAGACATTAAAAAAAATAAATAAAAATAAAACTGCCACCACGTTTGTTGTGATAAATGTATTGTCAGCTAGTTTTTGTAGAGCGTCAGACGAATGACAAAATTGTATTTACTTATTAGATTCACATACTCAAATATTAAAACATATTATATTCATATTAATCATTTTTATTAATAGTTTTTAACGTAGCCGGAAAACCATTAGGACATTTTAGTTGTTTTTTTCTGCAAACGGAAATGTTTGCACTTTAAGAGTGATGATTTTGTTTTATTTGCCAATAAGTCTTTAACGGTCGTTGTTCTTTGGTAGGTAGTTCATTGTTTTAAGTACCGTATAAAAACGTGTTATTTACAATCGACACACGCATTTAAATGTACAAAACGTGTGTATCCCAATAAAATATATTGAATGCGTTAATACGATTTTTCATCGTTAAACAATCCTTTTTCAAATAATTAAGAAATCTAAATTACAATATATAACCAAAATATTATTTACTACTCCTAGGTTTTTCAGTGTTAGTTGAATTTGAACTATTAAAAAAAAAAACAATTTTCGTGTACAATGTTCTAAGCACAGTATAGAAACCTAGGCCACTGCAGAGATGCCTATTAGCACAGTAGATACCTATTACTCCTGAAATTATTACAAGATCATGATTATTATTAACAGCGTAGGTCTACAATGAAAAAACATGGTTAAATGGACGGATTTTCTATGGATCGTGATTCGTGTTACCGTCCACATGCACTATTGTATCGTGAACACAACAATATTTTGTCATTATTGTGATTTTCAAACAGAAACGTCTTCTTCTCCGCTTTGGGGTTTTCGGAATATCTCTGATCAAGGACGACCCTCGGACAACCAAGCATTGTATTTTCTT